AAACCCACCTCTTCCCTTCGAGGGAGAGGTATATGTTTCGTGTGTCAGTTGTGTGTACTTTCACGATTAAATGCAGCTTTCTTCTGGTTACACAATGTACACTGCAGTTACATTCCGAGGATGTTTACATGCTTCGTCTGCACCGAGTCATACCTCGGGGCAGACGAAGCATATGTTGGTGGTTTACGGAGGGCAGGATTTAAACTCGCCTCCAGAAGGTGCGCTGGAATTCATGAGCTTCACACAGACTATGCCCCAGTCAGTTAACCTGCCTCACTATTCACATTTCGACCTATGTCTGAGCGTGCACCGAGCTGACGATGTGTATGGGCCGATCACAACCCTTTTTCAAGACCAATACGGACCTGAAGAACCTGCGAAGCTATATGCTTCGCCCCGCCCCCGTCCCCCCTCACACATACACCTCTCCCGCTTCGAGGGGAGGAGGGGGAGACTTCCCAACAACTCGAGGACGAGGAGATTTCGCTGGAGGAGGGGAGACTTCACAACAACTCGAGGTGGAAGAGATTTTGCTCCATCACTGCAGTCTTTGCCATCACCTTTGTCCTTGCCATCACTGACGTCTTTGCCGTCGCCTTTGTCCTTGCCGTCACTGCAGTCTTTGCCATCACCTTTTTCCTTGCCATCACTGACGTCTTTGCCGTCACTGCCGTCTTTGACATCACCTTTGTCGTCTTTGCCATCACCTTTGCATCGCTGCCGTTCTTGCCATCGCCTTTGTCCTTGCCGTCGCTGCCGTCTTCGCCATCACCTTTGTCCTTGCCATCGCTGCCGTTCTTGCCATCGCCTTTGTCTTTGCCGTCACTGCCGTCTTCGCCATCACTGCCGTCCTTGCCGTCGCTACTCTTGCCGTCCTTGCCGCTGTAGCCTGACAAGCCTTGAAGGTTTAGTTCGTCATATTCTTCGTCACGGGCTTCGACAGAGGCCCACAACTGCAGATCAGCAGCGTCTTGCATCTAAACATGTCTCTGCCTCTATGAACAGTAGGACTCCGTGTGAGCTGCGAGCGGACTCGAACTCAATTATGATTATTGCCCTCACTCGAGCCTCTTATATAGGACTCGACCAACGGCATTACGCGACAAAGAGACTTCCTCTATGCACTCGAGGAGCTCAGATCGATTGCATTTAGGCAAGTGTTTGGGAATGGAGACATCGAGGCGTTATTCTGGGATGCCTTCTGACTACATGGACCTAACTAGTTGCCGAGGTGGGGACTTGCAACTGGAACATGAATTCTCTCGATTTTGCCAGGAACGTTGTCACGCTCACAAAGCAAAGTGAATTAATCCATCACTAAATTTTACAATCGTACTACCATACCGTCTAACGAGTCACGAGGCCAATACTGGTATAATCTGTCCGATCAAGGATCAAAATCCATGCTGGTATAATATATTGATGGATGTTGATAAGCCCAAGAGTCATTAGCAGCTCATATCGATACAAATTACCTCTTGTATTGATAGGAGCTCTCAGCTTCGAACGCAAGTTTGATCTAGTAGGTGTATGGTGGTGGGGGTTGACTTGACTACCACTGGAAGGGGAGGAGATTTTGCTGGAGGTGGTGGTGATTAAGCCAAAACCGGAGGAGGGGGACTTCACAACCACGGGAGGAGGTGGCGGAGACTTCTGTATGTAGGGAGGAGGAAGAAGCTTTGCTGGAGGCGGTGGTGATTTGACCACTATGGGGGGCGGGGGAGACTTCTTCGGTGGAGGGGGGACTTCAAAACCACGGGAGGAGGTGGCGACATGGGTGTGTAGGAAGGACGAGGGGGAGATTTCACGACGGCGGGAGGCGGTGGAGACTTGACAGGAGGAGGAGGAGGAGGTGATTTCACCACAACTGGAGGAGGGGGAGATTTCTTCGGAGGTGGTGGAGACTTGGGAGGATTGTGATTTTGCAGGAGGAGACCTGGGCTTGCAGGGCTTGCGGCCTTGTACCCCATTGATATGCAATCCTTGTCGTCTTTGTCTTTGCCCTCGTGATCATCAATGTCGTCGTGATGACCGTCTTTATCGTCCTTTCCGTTCCCGTGGTCTCCCTTATTGTCATGGCCATCCTTGCCGCCTTTGCCATCACCTTTGCCACGTCCATGGCATCATGGTATTCGTCGCTGTCTAGTCCTGAGCTACAACAACAGATCATCGTACCAAGATATGAGTTTCTCTCCAGGAGCGTGTGGTAGTAACGAAGGAAGTGCGTTAGTAAAGGTAAAGGTTAAGGTTGTGCGTCCTCCCACCAGAGTGCGTCCGGCAGATATCGCGGATCGGGAGGAGAATTTGATGGAGATGGTTGTGAAGGAGGGGGTCGACTTGCGATTGAAACTTATCACAGTGAAGCTGTGAATTTATACCGGAGAGGAGGACATAGCTTGGCATGCGCTAATAATTCTGGAGATGCACGCACTATCTTTGACGTTGTACCTCAAAGTTTAACAGTGAGCAACAACAACCAATCAACTGTTACAGAGACATTGTTGCTAGAGTTTCCAAATCATCCACTTGGGGGTAACGTCTAAGTTGAGGGTTTAGCCAGGATTTTGGGTCCACTCTTTTGGAGTAGGATGCAGGTGCATTAGAGAAGGAGGAGCATTGTTAGGCGCGGTAGAGATGAACGAGATGGAGATATTCGACCTGAACGGCTGCGGGTTTCTCCTAGAGAGAGTGACAGCATGCAAAGGGCCTGTGATTGTTATTGTCACTGAGCTTTTTGGCGGCAAGTGTTAATTTTGACATCGGCAAGTGTTAACATCAAAAGATTCAATTCCAATAATACTATAAACAGCTTTTGATGACAAGTTCTATCAGTGCCTCACTGCAAGTATCCAAAATGAAATGTGCAATAGGTTCTGGCTGCGATGGATGTACGGCAGGCTTTCGCAGGTGAATGACCTTATAGTGAATGACCTTATTCAGCTTTCCTCTCCAAACCTATCGTCTTGCTAAGTATGCTTACTTTCGGGTCTCTCAAAAAATTATCCATCACATCTCTCCAAGTGTTGCGAGACAGGTAATGATGCGAGACAGGATATGATGCAAAGGTAATGATGCGAGATGGAGAGAGAGTCACCATCACGCAGGGCTTGCAATGAAACTAATAGACGAAAGAAAATTTAATTTACACACTCTCGATTACGATCTCGGTGACCTATGAGACTGACGTGATTAACAAATTGATTAACAATCATCGCACCTGAAAATCTAAGATATCACATGCTCCAATTTTTATCCAATTACAGTCTAGATGCTCGGTAACTTTAGGCGTTAAAGACACAATCAATTTAGGTAATTTAACCTCCAATGTATAGGGTAGCCTAAAATAATCATACTTGGTTATGAGTGATCTAATGTAATTCTAGGAGTATAACTCGCCTTTAGGGCAATCCTGTCAAAGTTGGGCATGTTGACGAGCCTCTCTTCTCTGACCGGAGCAGAAAGGTTCATGAAGAACTCCCACCAATCGAGTTCATGAAGAAATCGATTGGTGCAGATCTATCACACAAGGTGTGATTCATCATAACAGCGATGGTGTACCTGCACATTTGAAAGTAGTGACCTGAATAGCGAGGAGAGGAAGGTCAAGGATTATCGTCGCATCGAATTTTAAGGGGACCAGAGACCAGAATGGTCGTTTAGAGCTGTGAATTTATCGGATAGGAGTGCTGGCGATGTGGAGTTTTGGAAAGATGAAGCTGCTAGTCTCCATACGTGCCGTAATCTAATCTTTTTCTGATGAATATTCGGTGTCTCCATAAATGTAATTTTAGACATAGTTTTTTGCGGCAGGTGATAGACTTTCTAGAAATCAGATGACATTGATCATTGTTTTCTACGGTGAAATTTTAAACTTGACATTTATATTTGGACTAAGTAAAGACTGTTTAATTAGAATATTCCAATTATTTCACCTTTTTACAATTAGATTTTAAGCTCTCACTTAGATTAGGTCACCTTATTATTATTATCGATTTAGAGTTTTTTTGGCGAATATTGTTATCTTGAAATGAAATACTGGATAATTTTTTGGAAATTTCAATTATGTTTTCTGGACTCAAAATTGTGGTTTCAACACTCTATTAGATCTAATTTATATTGTGAACATAAAATCTGAGTAGTAAGATGAAGCTAGACTTTTATCAATGAATCAAATTAGAATTAATTTTACTTCATTATGGTTTACTAAGTATGAATTGACTTTAAACCCCCACCGGGTCGTAGAAAGGGTTTCTTATGGACGTAAACATATTTTCTCTCAAAAGCTCCGAAGTGAAGCAGTTGCAGACGGACACTCTTGGCCCCATGAATTCTGAAGTTGACACTGACTAAAAACTCTTCAGTATACTGCGGAGTAATAAGGTAGCAAGAATCAAGGAAACATTATTTGTCCCGTCCGAAGAATGTTATCCAAGCGTTGGGAATCTTAGAAATATTACTTATGGCCTGTTCCTGAACTGAAACTCTACATCTGGCTGTAGCCAAGCTGGCAAATCTTCGGTTATCTTTATGATCCAAGGGAAAGACAAAAATTGGATAGATGTGATCGAAACTAATTTTGAGAGACCCGAAGGTAAGGCTAGTTAGTGAGACGGCAGGTTTGACCGGAAAAGCTGAACACTATAGCAGCAGATTCTACGTTTTGTCTTGAAACGAGATTTCAGCTGACCAACGAAAATTCACTCGAATCAACAAAAATATGTCTTCCGACCAATGAGGTCCTTCACAAGCGAATGCTTGCCGTACATTTATCGCAGCCAGAACCTGTTGCACATTTCATATTAGATTCTTGCAGCGAGGCACTCATAGTACTGGTCATCAAAAGCTGTTTACAGTTTTATTGGAGTTGAATCTCTTGATTCCAAAAATCGGACTCGAACAGAATACTTGCACTCAAAAGCAGCTTCTTGAAGCTGCGAAGAATTATTTACATGCACGCCTGGCTAGCTTCCATCAGAAAGTACATCTTCTGATTCCCGACCTCAGCATGGGTTCACTGTGCGGCAGTTTCTGCGAACCTGAAATTCGGCTCTCACTCCCACAGCACCCATTGCGCGCATAGCTTTCCCGAATCGATGGTCGAACCGACGCTCGCTCATTCGCTTTTTCACCAATTATCTGGTGCTCCTATCGTCGAACAGAGACTGATCGGACGTGAACAATCCTTTGTGCTCTGAAAGTACCTTGTAGTAGTTGGCATCGAACTCACCGAGCGTGATGGTGTCCATGAAGATCTCCAGAGTGGTGTTGAAGATTGCCTGCGGGCAGTCTTTCTTCAACTGCTGCGCGTATGAAGCATTAATCGAAGGATCGGTAAAATGAGTTGCACTGAAGTTGTACAGGCGCTCGATGAATTTGTCGCAATGCCCGACTCCTACTGTGTGGGATCCTGTAGAAAGTGACATGAAGTGATTTCTTGTGGTGAGATCAATAAGCTTCGAGATCGATGATATAGAATACAAATGAAAGGGCTCAAATTCACTAATTGCCTAACAAATTTTCAAATGCGTCTAATGCTGGAGACGGACCTGAGAGGATGACCATCTGCGTCTTGGATAACCCCCTCCTGGCAAAAGATTCTATGAGCTGAGAAACGTTGAATGTTGGTAATGGAAGCTCGTTTTCTGCAGCGTCAGCACAAGAGAAAAGTCCGTCTCTCCTCCTTCCTTGGACGGTCCAGCCTGTACCATTCAACTGACCAGACAAACGAGAACCCAATCTCGGATTTTCAACTTTTCAGACTACATAAGTATACTATTGAAATCCACAGCCTCTAAATATACATAGTCCTTAGAAAAACACAGATCTACGCATCGCTTATATTACCTGTTGACAGCTTTCTGAGATCGAGAGGAAAGAGGAGAAGATGTAATATATATATATATATATATATATATATACAGAAATGATTCTGATCTACGTCACATGCTAAGACAATCCATCTATCATTCCCATGTAATCAATCTACACCATGCTCATACCTTGACAGTACTATCGCGAGCTGCGTAGGCCAAAATGTCGGAGCAAGACACAACTCCGGGGCATATAGCCTCCACAGCTTGTTTGGCGTCATCCACCACGTCGTACCCGATCAGGTTCGAATTGATGGGAGCAGTTTTCTCAGTGTCATTTCCATCCAGCAACACCGAGGCGTCGCAACCCTGCCACCAAGGAAAATAATCATTGATGATGGCCGGAATCGATGTTAGATCTTGACAAAGCGGAACTCATATTATGTCACCTCGTACTTTGGATCTACAGCTTCATGCGTCTCATCTCGGAGCCATATCCAACAGCGTTTCAGAAGTCTATCCAAATGTAAAATTCATCCCTCACATTCACCGGGGCCGACTTCATTCACCTCAACAAAGCAGTCGTGAAATAGCATGCGTATGAGACCAGCGGCTAGCTTCAGCATCGACTGCTGCTTTTATCACAGACTTGGCGTCCGGACACGAGTCCTTGTAAAAGTCATCACGGAGCAAACTCGCCTGCTCGCTTGAATCTACTAACATGAACAAGAGCAGAACCCACGTCAAGAGTAGAAATAGATTATTCAGGGACGCCATGTCTGTGATTAATCATGTCTGTGTGTATGTGTCAATCTAGCACACCAATCGTGAAACGTTTCACGATTGGTGTGCTAGATTCGAACCTGGATCTGCTGTGGATACATACAGATTTAAGTTCAGTGGGCTTAAAATTTGCAGGTTTATGAAATGAAGATATAACTTTCTACAACAGTGATTTCCAAGTAATGAAGCTCAGTACATAAACAAAAATTGCAGGTGCGTCCGTGGCTGGTCAGAGTTGTGATATCGACTTAAACTTCAGTTCTTTCTTCCTTCGAAGCAAAAGCCTCCATCAATTTCTCCGAATACGTGGGTGTCATACAGATCCTGCTGGTTTCAATTATTGCTGTTTAAACTATTCCAGTTTAGAACATTATGTCCTGTTGTCTATAGCACCCAGACTTCACATCTGCACAAGAGAAGTTTATGATCATAGGAAAAAGTAGCGATTTCCATCGTCCTAGACTTTGATCGATTAAAACTCCGTCATTTCTGAAATAAGTCCCCTCAGGCTGGTACCCAGTCGCCACTGTAATTCAAAGCATTTCCATCCGATTGCATTTCGAGATAGCAGTCGCCGGGGAAGCCTCTTGATCCATAAGGCCCTGGCCAATGTGTTCCTGCACCAAGTTGCAGTCCATCTACATGACAAATTTCTAGACCTCATTTGACATCATGTTGGAGCTCGCAGACTGACAGAGGCTCAGTCCAGAACCTTGGCTCAATCGAGCGTTAGTGGTCTGTGCGTTTGTAGATGTTGTCCTGTAAGTTGGAAACATTATACAAGCCCCAGTTCATCTTGATGCCAGAAGACCTGGGGCTTGTATTCTGTTTCTGATTCTCGTTGAACATGGCAAAAATGTAAGCATTTATCGGCACGTTCTGTTTGACTGGTGCTCCTCCTCAGGTCATGCTCAATAGATTTGCTCGTGGATTCTAACATTCAATCTTCCTCACGAGACCCCTGCAGTTGGCCAGCCGGTCTAACCAACTTTCACAGACGCGTTGCTTAGATTGAGTTTCCGCAAGGCTGTATACACATCGTCGGTTGACAGTTGATGAATGTTCTTCCATTGCCTGCCAAATACCGAGACGATAGTTTCCTCCAGTCGAGCTTGTTGTGAAGAAAATTGACCACCTGAAGGATGTGAAAAGAACGGATAGATGTAATATACGAGAGTGTGAGGCCAACCAGTTCTCGATTGGTCTCATCCTTCCCGCGTCTTTGAATTATCCTGCTGAATAAGGGAAGTACTAGATATATTGAGGCACAAGCAGGAATATTATATGTTCCCAGACTTCACTGTTTGATATTATGCTTCACGCAATTTCTTCTTTCTGCTCAGTGCAATAGTTTCATGTTACGGCCGAAAGATCAAAGTTGCAGTCAGCCACTTGAGTATATCTGACGAAGTCGATCTTAATCTCAGGTGTCATCTGCATGGAAACCCTACTTGGGGAACCTTATTTCTTTATTCACAATGTCTTCTCTTGAAACCATACAACGTTATATCATGAAGTCAAATTCGGACCAAATATCAAGCGAACGAGATTTCCTTACAAGAGATTCATGTAAGTTAGCACGAATAAGATACTAATAGTAAATGCACTTAACTTATCATGAATTTGAATGGTAAATTGGTTTTTGCAAATTACAAAGAAAAAAATAGAAATTACAGTCAACTCAAAGGCATGCATAAGGTATTTGACAGGGAATCTCTATCTACTTTGAGTTATTCAAAAGCTTCTTGAACACTTGGTGTATACTATCCAAATGTTAGTTCTTTGAAGCAATTATTGCAAACTATACAATTAACTCTTATATTATTTTTCTTTAGAAGTAAAAGTATTCCCCATTACACTTTCTCTAAGATAAAGTGTAGATAACAGTACTTGTTCGTGTGAAGTTAGATTTTACTAAGAGAAGATTTGAATTTTCAAATTCAAATCTTTGAAGTTATAAAGTTTTCATGATAAAACTTGAAACATCTAGAACAACTTTATCGAGAAGCTTAGTAAGACGGATGTAACTAGTAAAAGATCTTTATCGTGTGCGTAAGATTTAAGCAGATCTCTCCATATAGGGCGTATTCCGTATGTTTTGTATCTCAACAAAATAAGGCTAATTTTTAAAACAAAATAAGGAACATACAGAACTAGACAAAAATCTCTCATATTTTCTTCAATAAAGTTCAGATTTTACAACAATAAGATAAAACTTCAAGAGATAGTGTGAGGTGGCTATTTTTTTAGATAAAAAATACGGTAGTATTTTAAAAGTTTTTTTTCAATAAATAGTTTTGATCTGATAGAGTAAATATCTCATAACTTTCTCAATTAGTAATTAATTGACTTAAATAGAGTTTTGATAGATAGAACTTGGCATGCTTGTTCTACCGAGCCCATAAACGCTTGAAACGGATAAATAATCATTGAGTTATGAGTGTCGGAAGTGGCTGGTACGAATTGGCGAAGGCGAGAAGGGAGTTTGGTTGAAGGATCTTCGGACTTGGCTCAAGGGTCTTCGGACTTCGGCTCAAGGATCTTTCGACTTCGGGCAAAGTGACTTGAGAGTGTATGATTCTTGGACATCACCAAGGATCAAGTTACTCTCATCAAGAGTGAAGAGACAGGTTTATGGATGAGATTATGTGAAACTATTTTTAGGTGAGATAAGATGAGTTTTCAGTGTTTTATTTGTGGAAATACTCTTTAAGGGGTCAGAAGTGCTTTGGCTTTGGCCTTTTGGGGGTGCTTGGGACTTTTTGCATACTATATAATTCATTGTTTGAGAGTTCAAAGGGGGTTTGGCATCAGGAGATTACAAGCTTAGAGCCCGAGACGTAGTGTCCGTTTTCTTTTCCTCATGGCTGATGAGACAAAAGTTAGTGGTACTTTCCTCGTGTGATGCATATAGATTTCTAGCAGCCAGCTTCCCTTGTGTACTTCTGAGAAATCCTAGATTTTACTTGCAGGGTAGCTGTGAGATGTAGTCTAGAAGTGTGAGAGTAGATTTTTGAAATTCTTGATTAGTGTTGCTCTTCCGGTGACGGAAATAAAATATATCAGATGTAAATCTGAATGTAAAGTGGTTTTTTAGTATGTTTTTTACTCAAGGAGCCCTTCCAGTCTATCCGGTTACAACGACAAGGTATTTTTCATCACATAAGAGCGTTATTGGTGTAATAACTCGTAACAAGTCGTGACAGAAAGGTGTGTTATTATTTATCCATGAATTTTTTTTCCCATTTCAGCATTGAGAAGTCACCTTCCACCGTTGAAGTGTTAGGAAATGGACAAGCTAATACTCCAATAAAATCCATGAGTTGAATATATATATTCTTAATACTTGGAATATTTCAAGCTTAGCTAAAATCATAATGTTAAGTTAACAGATTCAAGGCGTTTTGAAGAATATATTCTCGGTTTACAAAAACCAAAAGTTGTTTATGTTCTTCCACTATTTTATCTATGTACTCTTGTTTCCAAGAAAATTTGAGGCAATTTTGATATTTTACAATCAATTGAATATCTTCTTGTGTTTTCAGAACTACAAGTTCTTGAGGTAAGCAAGCTGCCAAAATAATAAAATTTCTTGGTTGAATTCATCACGTGTGGCTTCTACCTTGCTGAGATTACAAACTGCTTCCAAAAACAGGTTGCCAACTGCATGAAACACGTAAATTTTTTATTTTGTGTCGAGCTCTTCCAATAATTGGATAGCAAACAGCACCTCATACTCTTTTAGTTCAATGAGATTGGCATGACTAACTTGTTATCTGTCAAGGTACATAGGGGACTAGTTTAACTCAATCCCAACTAGCTTTACACATGCAAAACGCTGTAAGATTGATAGCAAATCTTGAAGAATTGACTTTTGTTGTTGCAAAGTGGTTCTTCTTCCTTGTTAACCTTACATACATTTGCTCACATGGCCTGAAAGCATGCTTAAAACTGCAACCAAAATCCACTAAGACAATGAGAGCATGTCGCGAATCCACTGAAAGCATAACTTTGGCCAAAATAAGTCATGATTTCAAATATTTTTTTGACCAAAAAACGAGATACATCGGACATTAGCAGATAAATTTGGACAAATAGCTTGCATTTATTGATAATAAATATTCAGACGTGATGAAAGAGAAATCAGTTAGCTTGATGTCTTATAAAATACACAACCAGCGTTTTTTTTTAAATCTTATGTATCGTATCACAATATCCATATGATGCAACAAACATCTAACACAAATGAAATATGGTCTAATCATCTATTGAATACACGTCAAAACTCTAGATGAATGTCTTGTTATATTTGTAGTACCGTCAATTGAACACCCAATTAGCTTGTACTTCTATAAGGAACAAACTGCATGAAATAACTTTAAAAACATTTCAAACATTGCCAATCTTGTATGTCTACCCAAAAGAGTAAGTGTAATAAGGTGAAAATTTTCAAGAGCAAATTTTTGATAAACTTGGATTCGAATATCTATCCAAGAAACTACTTAAAGGTCACAGGTTGCATAAAAGTTTACAAAAAAGGTCCATGCGGAGTGGAGTATATGTGCGATGTTTTCAATGGATTTGGCGCATGCGGTTCTAACATAAGAAGAAACCAAATATTCACTACAAAATCCAATTTTGAAAATGTAGCATAGCTCTTTCGCATCATTAACTACATCAGCAATCATAGAAAAAAACATTCTTCGTGCAACAAAACGAGTAATTAGCTCAAACTGTTTCTTCTGGCTAATTTGAATGCCAATATTGTCATCTTCCGTTGGTTTAAAGATTGACATTGCATTTGCTCGGGATTAAACATACAAATCATTTTCACTCCAAAGCATTATTCTATAATCAAATCAACAATCGAAGCTGTAATAATAAAAATACTCATGGTAGATTAGTATATATAAAATGACAAATAGTTTCGGCATGTTTGATAGAAATTGCATAATAATTGGACTTATCTTCTAGTGAAAGCTTTTGATACTTTT